AATAAGACCCAAACTTTTCAGGTCAAAATTTCAGTAGGTTGCGTCTGTATGGCCTTTTCAATTTTATAAATTATCATTGTTTTTAAGTGGAAAAATAAAACTCAAAATTAATGATAATCTCTGCGCGAAAAATAAAAATCTTAAAATAATTATTATTTGTAATCCCAAAAATAAAAATCAAATAATAATATTTCCGTTTGTGCGAAAAAATAAAACTCATTAATAATTCATAAAATAATGATTAAATGCTGATTTAAATTACTTTACTCATAATTATTACCTTCCCTGCTTTTAAAGTTTGAAATAAAATAGTTTAGTGAAAGTACCACATTTCACTGCTTTTGAACTGGTGCGGGCCTAGTTACTATCGGACTGATTCGTTTTTGGCGAAAAAGAACTAGTACTGAACTAGAAATTTGGTTACTAGTTCGTGTTTTCCCTACAAGGTCTTATTTACTTAAAAATCAATATGCTTAAATGTAGACAAGTAAGACAAAGTGAACTAATATTTTTACTTTTAAGCAGAACGCACTTTTGTTTTTTACTTACTATGTACTTAAGTTTAATACTACTACTACTACTAATGTGGTTTATAAATTTTTAATAAATGCGTTTAAACATTTGTGATGGTATTGTCCTTCCTTCAACCGATCATATTTAATATAAAAGAGAAATGTTTCGACAAGCTGATTAGAAATGTAGATCTAAGGTGACGAATTTATAACAGGTTGGGAACTATAAAAAATGGATGCAGATCGAACTAGATCTCATCTGTCGAATTAGGAACTGATTTGAAACTATAGAAAAAGGGATGCAAAACGAACTAGATCTTATCTGTAGAATTTAGAACTGGTTCGGAACTAGCGCCAAAGGGATGCAACGGGGGACCATTGACACTTCCTAGGACATCGCAATGTTAAATTCGCCAGTCGCTAGCATGCAAAAGAGAATTAACGCGTACTAGTCATGGTTCCAAACGCACTAGAACCGAACCAGTTCCGCACTAGTTCGTTTCCCTACAGGGTAACTTCTCAATGTGTAAGCATTCCGAAATCAAAGCGAGACAGTCTAGCACCGTTTTTGTCAATGTATTGTGTACTTGAGTGCCGTTTTTGTATATGTGTTGTGTACATGTTTATTTATAAACGTGTGTTCCGTTTCCTTCGTACGTGTTTATTGATATATCTGTACTGTAGTGTTTTCGGACGGTACTAGCTCTTACTGCCAATATAGGAGTATTACATATATGACGTAAAGATATAATTGACAAAACCAAAATGTATTCCATGATAAAAACATAGTAAGGTAAAACCGTTCTCTCAATTCGTCGGCCATGATTTTTCTTTGAAGTTTGCCAACATTTTAAAATCATATCAAATTGAGATTAAAAAAAGGGAATTGTTCGAAGTTGTTGTTGTTTGAGATTGAAAATGAGAATGTGTGTGTGAGTTTGTGTGTAAAATTTCAAAATTAAATTGCCTGCAAACGTCAAGAATTTGAAAAATTCCTCTCAGCGGTTCTACCTTCCTATTTCTTTTATCATGATGTATTCAACAAAGTGTGATTGATTTTGACATTGCTCTCATAAGAAACAGCCTACAATGTCAAACTGAAATGAATTCTTAACCCATTTGAATTTTTTTTTTCAAATTTGAAATTGTTTAAAAAAAAGTTAC